CCCAGCAATCTCCTCACACAGCTCCATTCATGGACCATGTCCCCACACACGAGTATTTGAACATTTGTATCGTGTTCTTCCGGGGTAGATTAGGAGGAGGAGACCTGCAGTATTGAGAAAGCATGCCCTTTATAGGAATGTGTTAGGGCCCGTGTACCCTTGCTCTTGCCTGTTCCAGCAGTGCCCCGTAACCCTCTGTGCCTCCACACTCCTGTCTCTGAGCATGGAGACTCTAATTTAAAGGGTAGCCAGCTTAGTGTGATGATAGGGGCACACTACTGCAAGAGATTAGAGACTCTAGGACCGTTTTCGTTGTGACCATAAGGAGAGCTGTAGTAATGAGGATGCCAACCGCTATGGGTGGCTGTGCCCTGCTGGAGCCAAGCACACTGCTCATCTTGCTGTGGCATCCCCACCCCAGGAAGTGTATTCAGACCCAGCCATTGCTGGCATCTCTCAAGCAAGCAGCAGTAGCCCATGCTCCTCAGCCAATGTGAAGTGCAGTTGGAGGGAGGCCTGGGCTGTCAGAATCAGAGCCTGCTCTCTTCACTCCCATCTGCCTGACCCAGAGAGCAGTCCTGGTTGGCACTACACTACCACTCCCTGCCTCGGGCCAAGCATAGGAAACCTGCGTCTTAGGTAGGCTAGTTGAGTGTTTATTTAGAACAGGTTCTTAAGGACAGACTGTGTAGTAGCTATGACAAATGTCCCCATTTCTTCCGATCCTGAACTGTAGACAAGTACCCAGGAGAGGAGGGGTGGCAGGTATGGACCAGAGTCCAGTCTCAGACCTCCTCTATGGTACACTGGGACCAGCTGCTCCTGCCCTGCCAGCCTGCCTGCCTGCTTGGCCATCTTGTTTGCGTTGCTCTTGCTGCCCTCTGCTGTGTGGTAATGGAATTGCCTGTGTTCAACCTGAAGGGGTCACGGTGGCTGACTTGTTAAAGGAGGATAAGAAGAAAAGGAGGTTCTGCTGCTTTCGACGACGCAGGGCTAAAGATCACGGTAACTTGCTGAGGTGGACTTGCTCTTTGGAAACTCCTTGCCTGACGTGTCTGGTGTTCTCTCTTTCACATAGGCGGGAGCTGCATGTGTGGTGTGGTACTTTCGGAAGATGCCTATGTTGTTATTAACTTGAGTTCTCTGATGCTTGACCATGCTACATTCCTCTTTCTTTCCCCTCAAATGTGTGGCATTTTCAAGATGGCATCTTTTTGTCTGGCCTGTACCTATTAAGAAACAGCTGAAGCAAGTGAGGCAACTCGTTTGATTCACTGTGAATATTCTTAGCCTGGAAGACACACTTCAGAACGCTATTCCTTAAACGATGCTCTTAAATTGAAACTGTTTAGAAACGCTAATAATGAAGAAAAAGAAATTCTAATAATGTTATTTGACTGTTTCTCCCCCGACCCAGGATGCATGTTTCAAGTTTCTCTAGTCTCTGGCTCTTCTACCCCAGGCCATGCTAAAGCTAGTAGTTGAAGATCAAAAAGGCTGAGATCAAAAAGAAAAAAAAAAATCTGGGGAGACATGCATCTGTTCAGTGAGAATAGTCTTATTTGGGATACAGTTAAATATAAAGTTATGTCTGAAATAATGTTGATTGCTCCCCTCACCCAATCCCCCAACCCCTTGGCAAAGCAGTTAGAGCCGTTATCATATAGATTTTTTATGGCACAAGCTGGGTCCTTGCCCAACTATCTGTGAGTCACTGCTGTAGTCTCACAGATATTAGACAATAGCACAGGCTTTGCCTGGATATACCTACCAGCTTTGCCAGCCTGGTGCTAACACCAAAATGGACCCCAGCAGGAAGAGGAAGAAGCTTGAGAAGATATGGACTGTAGGGACAGCCAGACAGATGCTAGCACAGGAGACGGTCACAGTGCATGGTTTTCTCGGAGTGGTTACTGCCTTCTGCAAGAATGCTGAGCTCAGACATTAAGGGAAGTGGGGCAGTCTGATGTGTGTGTGCTGTGTTAGGGTGCTAGCCTCCTCAAGAGACCTGAAGGAGGGCAGGAATCATGGGACTGTCACGTGGAAAGCACTTGACCCACAGTGCCCCAAAGAGGATGAAAAGGACAAACTCTATAATGCTTGGACGTCAAGTTGAGCCAACAATGGATCTGACCTGTTTGGCTTTGTAGCTGATGATCAAGAGGGTGCTTTGGTGCCGTTCCTAGGGGAGATACCGGCTAGAAGGGTGAGCCCTTCCTTGGCCCCACCCTCCTCAATAGCAGCTTGGGCTCCATGACATACTAAGGATGCTTGTGAATGTCTGTTTTCTGTGATAAACAGAGAAAGGAAACTGGCTTCATTGCATGAGAAACGGCCTCATATTGATGGGAGCAAGGACCAGCTCTGCCGGTGACCATGGGGCAGGAACCTTGCGAGAATGACTGCACCACCTTTTCCACTGTTACAATGAAAGAGTAGTATTTTTAGGCCCAGTTCTTGCTTTAGACCTGGAAACCTTAGTCTGACCTTGACCCGCATTTCCCAAGATGAGTATGGCTGCCTGTGTCAACAACACGTGTCAGCATAAGCATGTTCCAGTGCCTTCAAGGGCCCCCCGGGACCTTTGGAGTTTATCAGGCTTGTCACAGCACGGCACTGTTCATTCTTGTCACGAAAATGATACGAAACAGAAGAACTTGAGGTCAGCTCCTTTGCCTCTTGGGAAGGGAACCCAATTCTGCCGCTGACCAGTTGTGTGCCTCACCTCTTGCTCTACCCCAACCCCCAATTCCTTGAGAAGCATCACAGAGGGACTGCTGAAAGGAATTCCCAAGTGTGGAAGAAAGGGGGACTGGAGAGGCGGCTCAGTGCTAAGCTAAGTGCACATACGACTCTTTCAGAGGCCTGGAGTTCAGGGTCCCCCCGCACTGACCTGGTATAGCTCATACCCACATGTAGCCCCAGCTCCAGGGCATCTCATGCCCTCTTCTGGTCACTTGCATACACGAGGCTTACATTTGCACTTACACACACACACACACACACACACACACACACACACACACACACATCTATGCAAGCTGCTATTGTGGGTTCCGGAAGAAGAGGGGGCACTCTCTGTGAAATGTAAAAAGCTGCCTTTGGGGACTGCTGTGGCCGAAGGATCCAGGTCGCCGGGGCTGGCTTAAGCTCGTCAGGAGCTGCTCTATGTTGTGTTCTATTTCCTGAACATTAGACCTGGAGAGAGGACTCAGAGTCAAGTCCTCCTGTGTGGCAGCAGGACCCCTGACTACCCAGGAGGGTGGCAGACAGTCGGGTGCTGCTTAGACCCTGGTCTCCACAAAGAGCTTGGGGAAGTAGCAAGAGACTACTAGTACTAGCAGGTATTGAAACCAGACAACTTGTGGCTGTTGATTTTCTTGCTGATAGCAGGTCAGAGGTAAATGGATCCGGGAGGAGATACTGTCTTACCGCTCAGGCAACCAAGCATAGACACAACAAACACGTGCCACGAGTTGAGCCCTAGGCTTTCTTGACCTCTCTTCTGGAGTCTGTGAACTCATCAAAAGAAATGATCTGACATTAGCAGGGAATGCCATTCCCAAGTGCTGTCTGCTTGAACCTGCTCATAGACTCATTTATCCGCGTGTGTGCATGTGCATGTGTGTGCCTGCCTCTTAATTCATACATCTCACATATTTCCCTGAGAAATATCTTATCTATAGAGTGAAAGGTTAAAGATGCTTGGTGTTGACCCAGCCTGAGAAATGTTGGTCCTTCATTTATTTTATGGAGTGCAGTTCACAACGGCAGAGTGTAATCTGAGTTCCGGCTTCCACTCATCTGGCCTCTGCCTCTGAAACTCGTGCCTGAGTGTGCCTGGACTTAGCTGCTAAACTTTCCACAGTTTTTTGAGTGTCTGTAAAAGGAAAAGGCTCAGGGATTTCCCTTTGTGCCCTGCGGAAACATGGCTCTCTGACCTCTCTGGTCTGAGTCAGGTCTCACCTTCATCCTTGTGGTGAGCTTTATCGTCTCCTAAGCAGGGATTGAGTTTTGAGGTGTCCTTGTTCAGGGAACTGCCTGCCCACAGAAGCAAGGCTTTCCTCTGGGTGGAGTAATCACTGTGGTTCTGCCCCGGGGAAAAAGATGTATGTGTGTTTGGGTGTCCTCCCCATTTGCATCCTCTCCCCCAGTAAAATCAGGCATCTCTTATCTGAGAGCATCTTGCACAGAGCCCCGAGGTAGCTTCATTCAGGGCTGCCTGTCCCTTACCCTCCAGGGGCCACACGTCAAACATTGGCTCTGGGGGATCCCTGAGCCTCCAGGCTCTACCAGGTCAATTTTTACATTCTGCTACTTCTGAGGATCCTGATTTGGACACAGGGATCAGAGATCTCAGACCTAGGACTGCAGTCAACCCTGCCCTCAGTAGCCGGTAAGAACCCTCACCTGCTCTTAGCTCCGAGACCGCTTCTTCCTACTTCCTTTTTTTGGCTTATTTGGGATTTACCTTCTGCACACTGACTGCGGTGGAACTTAGGTATCAGATCAACTTCCTTAGACTGAGTGACGCTCCTAGAGTTTGAAAAGGGTTCTGTGCATGACCTCATCATGCACCCTGGCCATAATAGCTTGTCTTCTGTGTGTTGTAAAAACTTTAGTGTGAGCTGCGACACTAACCCTTGATTTACAAGGAGGGCAGTAGGAATAGTTTCATACTGAGGGGTTTAGGTGGCTTCTATGTAAATACTGAGGTGGAGAATTTAAGCCTGTCCCGGGCCTGGTGGCTGGACTCAGTGTGGCACCTTCTTTTCTTGGAAGCATCTGGGCTGTCAGACTTGTCTCTTAAAGTCACCTACTGGCTTTCTCTGCATCTACAGGAAGCAAAGGCAGTAGAGAGACCTGGCTGCTCATCCTTCTGCTCCTGATGGGCCTCTTTGTCCTCCTTCCTGGTTCCTGAGAATCTGCACCAGGCCCGCCCCCCGGGCACATCATGCCACACAGAACACACTGTCTTAAGCCTTTTCTTCTCCCCACAGCTAGCATGCCCACCAGTGAGACTGAATCTGTGAACACGGAGAACGTAAGTGGTGAAGGCGAGACCCAGGGATGCTGTGGAAGTCTCTGGTGAGTGTGGAGGCTGCCTGTCCTCTTGCCCCATAGTTTAGAGATGCTAATGCTGAGGAGACACCCCAGAGGGCATAGGAGTCTTCCAGCTCTGGTAGGAAGCTCTAACAGGCTGCCTCCATCCCTTTGGTACCCCGCCCCTGTACCAGGCCTGTTGGGGGCATCCCAGCATCTCACATACCTCTGCCTAGGAAGTTGTCCTGCTAAGATAGAACCTGGGGAGTGTGCTTCTTAACCCAGCCACCTGCTGTGTTCATTAGGTGCTGGTGGAAAAGAAGAGGCGCGGCCAAGACTGGGCCCTCTGGGTGTCGGCGGTGGGGGTAAAGGCCGAATTCTCCTTCCGGTTGGGTTTGGCATCTGTGCTTTGAAAGAAGAGCTTGAATGGCAGAGTTGCTGACCAGAGTGTGCCACATTCTCAAATTTTCCTTCATCCGTGGGGCCTTCCAACCTCATCCCCAGGAGCTGGATCTGGAGGCCCCGCCCTCCCCTGTTCACAGCCCCTTGTTCTGGAGCCATGCCTGCACTACCCTTTCCTGACCACGTGGGGCACCATCCTACTAGGCTTCCAGGCTTTCTCTAGACGATTGGGCTGCAGTAGCAGGGGTTGTGGGTGGCGGGCAGGCAGCAATGCCAAATGTGCTAAGAACTGCCTGCTTTGGGGAGCCTCGTGCTGTTTGGATTTGTTTGCTTCCCGCCTGCGTCCTTTCCATCTCATTCTTGGGTCCAGGTGTCATTTTTAAGAGAACTCAACCTCATTTGGGGCAGAGTTTTATAAAAATGACACACTATGTTATGTGTCATAATGGCTCATAGAGTGATTTCGCTTCTGTTCTCTTCCTGCCCTGCCCTCTCAATGATGTGAAGTAGCCTGGGAATGAATTTGCAATCCCTGTTTTACAGATGAGAACACTGGGCTTTTAGGGCATGCTATATCCCCATCCTCACCCATTCAGTGATCAGGGGAGCCGGGATGCCGTTCAAACAGGAGCAGCCCTTGCTACTGTTGAGCTGGGGTCTGCAGAGGCCCTCCTGGTTTCCTCTGGGGTGACGGGAGAAGAACCCCACCTCTGGGCTGTTCCAGGGCCACTCTGGAAGGAAACCAGAGTTTTCTGTTGCCTGGGCTCTCAAGGGTGCTGCTCTGCCCCCTCTTGGCAATACTAGTAGCACTTGGACATCCGCTCTGCCCTTAACCAGCTGGCCGGCTGTAGCACGGGGGACCAGAGTTCTGGCTTCTGTGCATGGCTTTAGCCATCTCTGCTTCGGCAATGGGAGCATATGCTTAAGCCTTTCGAACGGGAGTCTGAACGTTGTTTTCTTCCCTTTCAGTCAAGCCATCTCGAAATCCAAACTCAGGTCAGTATTGTCTTTCCATTTTTATCCTCCCCCCTCCATTCTGCGAGCTTGTGTTGGACTTTCTATGTTATGTTTTAAATTCTCACTTTTACATAGAGTTAATTGGTCTAGACTTGAGTTTAAAAATGTATTCCAAATTCCCTTCAAAGTATTACCATCCTGCCTTGGGGAAACAGGACAGGGGAGTCAGAGCGTGTAAACTGGCAGAGCACAATAAGTGAGCAACATTTTGCCCTTACCCACTCTCACTACCACGCTCACAGAGGTTTTCCCCACAAGACAGTCCAGGAAGACAGCTAAGGCACCCGGTAGTATTCCGTTCCTTGACCTGGATGTATACTGTGTGTTCACTTTATAATCCCATTGAACCCTGTGCCTGCATTTTGTGTACTTTCTTCTATGTGTTCTTTATCAATTACAGCATTCTCCTGCTGCACACAAACAGTAGGCCAAACCTAAATATAACGCCCAAACCTATAGAAACTCTAGAAGAAAACAGGAATAAAAGCATTGTGACCATGGGTTAAGTAAAGATTTCTTAAAATTTATTGATCCATGTTAGAAAAAAAAAATGATAGATTGGTTCTCCATAAGAATTAAAGCTTTTAGCCGGGCGGTGGTGGTGCACGCCTTTAATCCCAGCACTCGGGAGGCAGAGGCGGGTGGATCTCTGTGAGTTCGAGGCCAGCCTGGTTTATAAGAGCTAGTTCCAGGACAGGACCCAAAGATACAGAGAGACCCTGTCTCAAAAAAAAACAAAAAACAAAACAAAAAATTAAAACTTTTGACTTTGTTTTATTATAAAATAAAAAGATAAGTCACAAACCTGATAAAATATTTGCAAACCATATTTGATAAAAGACTAGTATCTAATATAGAGAGAATACTATGTAAAGATAATGTCAATGACAGAACAATCATGTAAAACTGGAAAGAAGATTCCAGCACATAGGTCGGAAAAAAGAGAAAAGCATGCTATAGGAACACGTGAAACAAATATGGTTACTCGGAAAATGCAAGTTCAACAATACTGCTGCCTACTGATACAAGTAGATCAGATTCAAATGTCTGGTGACGCCAAGTACTGACAGGGATGCTGACTGGTATTTTTGTGCAGTGCTGGCAGGCATGTTAAATGACATAATTATTTTGGGAAAGCATTTATTAATTTCTCACAAAATTACATTCATGATATGGCATAGCAATTCCAACTCTAAGGTACTGATGTAAGAGAAAGACATATATAATAATTATACATGTTTATAGTGGTTTGAGCAGATCTATTGTGATTTAGCCATAAGGTGCAGGACTTCTCAGGGATAGGAAGAAGGGAAAACAATTCTGAGAAGGTCACTGAGATGGCTGAGTGTTGAAGGTGCCTGCTGTGACCTGAGTTCTACCCCAGGACATACATAAATGGAAGAGAACCAGCCAACAGAGTTATTTAACCACCACACACGGCACGGCCCCTGTACCTCATGTGCATGTATACACACACAATAACATTAGGTTTTTAAAAATTACTGATAATATGGCAACACTGATGAATCTCAAAAGCATTTGGGTGAGAAAAAAAAAACCTCAAAAGGATACCTATCACGATTCTGAAACAGAACGATGGGCGTAGGAGACAGACCAGGAGTGTTGCTCTGGGGATGCGGGCCATGAGCGAGCGCAGAGTGATGGAAATGTCCTACAATCTGACCAAGTGTGGACGTAAAAGGAATAAACTTGCTGCATGTAAATTGTATCTCAACCTGACTTTGAGTAAGATTTTAGGGTTGTTTTGTTGGTCTCTGTTACCAGACCATAGAGACACTTCCGAATCTGTCCCTACTTCTCATCTTCTGCTTCAGCTTTTGACTTCCCTTCCCAGATCCACACCCCTCCGCTGTGACTCAGTGACCATACCACACTGTCCTGTTTTCATGGGTGTCTTGCCTTGATGCCTTCACCTCCAGGGTCTTTGGCCTGATGTCTGCTCTAGGGAGACTTCCACCTGCCCATGGAGAGCTCTTGGTCATTAAGGTCCAGCCTAGCTCTTTGCTTTGCAGACAAGTATTTCTCCCAGTCCCCCACCTTCAGTCTGGAACTGGACATTTGTGAATTTTCAGTTATCATTTATGCCAAAACGCTTCATGCGTATCAAGGCCAACAACCCTGGAAAAGTGCCTCTGAAACCCCATTTTACTAGCGCCAGGCACCTAGATAGCCAGTGTTCAGGAATGCAGGCTTCCTGCCGCCCACATGTAACTGAGCACAGGGGTGTCCAGCTAGTAGTATTGCATGATTCCAGGGGATATGACACTGAGTCTTCTAGATGCTGTAGTTGCTCATACCTTGTCACTGCTGTGCAAGATAAACCCAGCATGCATAGCCTTTTGGGACACCTTACTTATGTGTGTAGGGTCATGTGTCCCGGGAGAGCCCCGCTGTAAGCCGTTAGAGTCCCCAGAAGAGTTGTCTGTGCTGCTCACCGCTCACCATGCTTCAGACACTCTTCGTCCCATCAGAAGCTGCAGAGCAGAAGAAAGCAAAGCACAACTTGCTGGGTCCAGGTCTATGTGAAACCGCCCAGGGCCCATCCTTCCCTGGCTTCCTGGGTTGCAAATGTTTATCACAGCCACACAGTTGAGTCAGCCGGGGTCACACTGAAGCAGCCTAGATGTTCCTCCTGAGTTGTGCCTCTAGAGAAAATGCCCTCTTGATGGACACTGGGACAGCATGGCCAGAAGAGAAGGGAGTTGAGACCCAGCTGGTTCTTCCCTGCGTTCCAGGTTGCTGAGCAGCAGTCTCTGGTGCCTAACTGTCCCCTTATGACAAGGAGATTGGGAGTGTTTCCCAAAAGGAGAAAATGTCTTCCCTAATTACAAACAGAGACGGAAGGTGGGCGGGGACATGTCACGTGTCTGTTTGGTTCTGTTGGTTTGTTCTTATGAAAACACGATTCAATATTGGATCTGCTCCTAAAGGTATATTTCGAGCATTGCTAGTCAGAAAGGGCACCTGATGACTCAGCCTGAGACTCACGTCCCACTCAGCTTTGACACTCACGAGGCACCAGAGGAAAGGCATTTGAGAAAGGACTAAACACTTGCCTAAAAGAAGAGTTACGGTCATAGATTGCTCTGCCACCTAATACCTTCTATGTAATGATAAGCTGCTACACAGATACATATAATAAGCTGAGTGGTTCTGCCCCTCTGCCCTTAACAGATCCTGTGCCCTATGGCACCTACAAGATCTTTGTGTGTGTCCCAGTGCAGTCTTGAATCTGCACGTGAGTCTGTGGATGTCTAGATTCTTTGACCCACTTGCAGGCGTTATATGCACGTTATATACCCACTGCATATGTCAGATCCTGGAGTTATTCATAGCAGCAGGGAAGTGATAACAAAATTCGTCCAAGATGATACTGTTGAGAGCTGCGTGTGAAGACTAGCAGTTTTATCATGGGGTCTGTTCACACCTGTGTTGGGAGCTCGTTCTTTCCATCCTAAGCCATTTAATGTGAACCTCTCCTATTGCTCAGTAAAGTTTATTGGTCTCTGAGATGCCATCTTTGTCCGTGGTCTAGGGAGCAATGTTTGCTTGTTTTTCAGCCGACGCTGGCGTCGCTGGAACCGATTCAATCGCAGGAGATGCAGGGCTGCCGTGAAATCTGTCACGTTTTACTGGCTGGTTATCGTCCTGGTGTTTCTCAACACTTTGACTATTTCCTCCGAGCATTACAATCAGCCAGACTGGCTGACACAGATTCAAGGTACGGCTGGAAGGTGCTGTTCTTCTTTTGTTCTGAATTAGAGATGCTTACAGATAATTGCTATTCGGTATTATCCAAGTGAAGTGTAATATTCCAGTTAGAATTAAGAAGTAGTAGAACAATTCAGACTCAGCGAGCCCCAGAAAAGGTGTCTTGCCTACAATATGCAATATCAGCTAACTTACACCACAACCTTGAGATAGCCCTGGACCCAGGAATTTTGGAGCTGATACGTACCTCTCCCTGACACATTGGAAGCTTTATCCCCACTTTAGTATTTTTGGGAAGTGATTTCGATTCTTCAGCTTTGGATGGTCAGAATTGGGGGTTCATGGAGGTCATCACCAGAAGATCCCTTTCTAGATTGGACAGTTTTAAACTCTTGAGTTGTCTTTCTGTATATTTGCTTCTGCTGCCCTCAGTCTACAATGTTTGTTGCTACTGACAAACTACTTTGGGAATTTGGAGATGGCTCAGTAAGTAAAGTGTCTGCTGTACAAACATGAAGGCCTAAGTTCAGATCCCTGCCCGGTCGCCCATATGAAAAGCTAGGCATGGCAATGTACACTTGTAACCCCAGCTCTGTGTGATGGACAGAGACCAGGAGGTCACTGGGACTGGCCTGGGTTCAGTGAGAGGCCCTGCCTCAAGGGAATAAGGCAGGGAGTAGTCAAGGAGACCATGCAGCATCTTTATTTGGCTCCTGCACATGTTCACACATGCACACACGCATGCTGATTAACCACACATATGCACACGTGAACACACACATCATACTTCCGCATACACAGAGAGAATATAAATAAATAAAAATAAAAACTGACACTAGGATGCTACAAGTGGTCACTCCTCAATGTCAGATTTTATTATTTTTCTTTATTTTCTCTCTATATGGGGGAAAGTATGTGTGTGGGGGGAGGGTGTTAAATAAAAAACTAAGGTGTGGTCTCAATGCACAGTCTTAAAGGCTTAGCATTGGGAGGCTCAGGGACTCATGTGATAACTGTCTCTCCCATTCATAGTCAGTGAAATGGAGGCCCAGAGAAAGCGAGTGACTTCTCCAGACTCACATCTGGGTTATGGCCAGCAGCAATAAGGATGGCCCCTGTCGCCCGCGCAGCAGAGAGGCTGGGACGAGGCCTTGCCGTGTCTGCCATGGACACTAATGGAAGGGAGGTGATGGGAGGGTGAGGACCATGCCTGCGCTTTGTCTTCCCAGATATTGCCAACAAAGTCCTCTTGGCTCTGTTCACCTGTGAGATGCTGGTGAAGATGTACAGCCTGGGCCTCCAGGCTTACTTTGTCTCCCTCTTCAACCGGTTCGACTGCTTTGTGGTGTGTGGGGGGATCACCGAGACCATCCTGGTGGAGCTGGAGCTCATGTCTCCTCTGGGGGTCTCCGTGTTCCGGTGCGTGCGCCTCCTGAGAATCTTCAAAGTGACCAGGTAAAGATGTGGGCGCCGCACCCGTGTGTGCTTGGTTGCTGTCCCCCACCAGGTGATGGTCTCTGGGTTTACCCCTCCCCCCACCCCGTCTTGTAGACACTGGACTTCCCTGAGCAACTTGGTGGCGTCCTTGTTGAACTCCATGAAGTCCATTGCTTCGCTGCTCCTGCTGCTCTTCCTCTTCATCATCATCTTCTCCCTGCTGGGCATGCAGCTGTTTGGTGGCAAGTTTAATTTCGACGAGACCCAGACCAAGCGAAGCACCTTTGACAACTTTCCCCAGGCACTCCTGACTGTGTTCCAGGTGAGCCCTCCCCCAACCCCCTACCCCGGAAGCTCTTGTTGTGAGTGGAAGTCAGAGAGCCAGAACCTTTGCCTTCTTGGATCTGCCTACAACTCAGTAAGACACAAGGATGCCGTTTTATCAGTCATTCTCATCCCATGGTCCTCTGGGGCAGAATTTTATGCCGTGTAACTTATTTTACAGTGTCTTCCACTACCTGTGTGATATGACAAACGGAAACACTTTTGTTTGGTCTTATGAGATCTCTGGGAACTAGACTTTAAAATCTTGTCATTCATTAGTTTGTTTGCTTTCTTTATATCAGTAGGCATGTTTGTAATCGGTTATAATAGATTAAAGCCAAGAAGTGAATTTGGAAGCCGAATCTGGAATGTCTTGATGTGTAGTCAGAGGAGTCTGGGTGGTAGGGGCTGTGCCAGCCTCTGCCCTGTCGCTGGAAGAGGAGTGCGCAGTGCTACCTGTGGGCTGGGGTATACTGAGCCCTCCTCCCCTGCTCTCAGCTGCCCTGCTATGGTCCAAACCTGACAGGTTAGCTCCCTATGCCATCCACGCCACCAGATTTCTCTGTGATATCAGCAAACATCTAAACATCTAGTCCTGAGGAAGAGACAAGAAGCGTCATGGGAAGGGCAAGAAGCAGTTAGGCATTATAGGGGTTCTCCCTGGGCTCGCATCTGTGACTTTGATAAGTCACTTGTCCTTTTCTGAAGGAGCACAGAGTCTAGAGAGAATGATCTGGAAGGTCTCACATGGTCGTTAGAGATTCACAGAATCACAGAGTAAACATTCTGCTTCTCACAACCATTTTCACCCCCAAGAAGTTTTTTTTCTAATAACCCTATGTATATTGGTGTGTTTGGGCATTTGTGTGTGTGTGTGTGTGTGTGTGTGTGTGTGTGTGTACACAAATCAAACTATTGCTTGTAATGAATCACAAAGAATGAAAAAACTTTATGCCTAAACACTCACTCTCACTTTCTCACTCACACACACAAAATTAAAAATAAAAATAAAAAAATTTAAAGAGCATATCTTTGGTAAACATACATTTCAACATTTATTAAATATAAATACAAATTTGCATACTAATCTATCTAATAAATAAAGAAGTCTTGGGGCTAGGTAAAGTTGGTAAGAACCTGCCACATATGAGGACCTATGTTTGGGTCCTCAGTACCCACATAAAAGACTGGGCATGGCAGTTCCTACTAGTAATCCCAGGATGAGGGGAGGACAGCAGAGACAGGAGGCTCCCTGGAGCTCATTAGCCAGACAACCTAGCCAAATCAGTAAGCTCTAATCAGTGAGAGAACCTGTCTGAAACCACATGGTGACGAGGGACTGATGAAGACACCCGGCATTGATGTCTGACCTAGACCTGCTTGTATGCCATATGAACATGTACAGACATATACAACACACACACACACACACACACACACACACACACACACACTGAAAGATGTAGAGCATAGTCATCAATTTTCAAATTAATGATATTTTGATTTTATAACCATCCTCTCCTAGGATGTCGGTTAGCATAAACATGTACACTACAAAACAGCAGAAGTATGTTTAAGGCCCTTTACAGAAACTACTGCAAATTCTGCCATATTTTATATAACAAGTTGTTTTGTTGTTGTTTTTACAAATTTCAAACCATCAACTGAAATAGAAATTTTTAAAATCAAATATTCGAATACAGTCCAGTTCAAAGTTAACCCTACTGTGACAGCGACCTGAAGAGAAGCTATGCTAGGAAAACAGTGCACGGCTGGCTTTGTTTTGTGCAATTAAGCACATGTGTTTCTGTAAGAGCAGAAAACATAGCATGTGCGGTAGAAACGCTGCTGTTCGCAGCCTGCAGGAGTCTGCAGTCCAGGCCCCCAGGCCGCGGGAGCCCAGGCCGCGGGAGCCCAGGCCGCGGGAGCCCAGGCCGCGGGAGCC